TTCCCTGTCTTTGAGTAGCACCAGGGACATGATCCAGGTCTTGGTGCATCTGCACAGACCTGGAGCCAGGGTTGCCAGCACTGAGATACCCCAGGCCCAACCTGTCTGCACTAAGGACTGCACCTCATCTCCCCTGAGCCTGACTGCTGCACTCACCCGGGGCATTGCAGGGCAGGGGAGAGAGTGGCAGGGAATGTCACACATGGTGATGTGATTGTCTGTTTTATTCTTGCAGTGTCTGGGGTTAAGACCCTGAAATTCCCAAGCAGGACATGCCCCTCGCTTCTGGCTGCTGGACCCATCTGCTGATGTCCCCATGTGCTGATGTCCCCTGCCGTGGCTGCCTGTGCCGTGCCCAGCTGGGCTGACAGCAGCAGTGGCAGCTGCTCCTGCTGGCTGCTGCTGGGCTGGAGCCCTGTGGTGCCAGCCCCGCTGTCTTTGGGGCAGGGGCTGCTTTTCTCGGCTTGAATAAAGACGAGCACTTTGGCATTGCAGGGCTGGGCCGTGTGTGCGTGTCCTGCTGCTGGAGGGCTGCTGTGCCTCTGCCTCTGGGGCTGGCCCTGCCTTGGTGGCAGCAGAAGGCCCTGGGCATGGTGCTGGGGCTGAGCAGCGCGTGTGTCCCTGGGGATGCTCCTGCCTGGCCGTGCTTTGGGGACGCTGAGCCCGGCAGTGCCTGCTGGGCCAGCCTGGCTGGGGTGCCTGTGCTGGAGCTGACTGCAGATGCTCCCTCTGGGGAATTGGGATCCCTCTGCTGGTCCTGCCAGTCCCAGATGTCCCTGGTACATGCACCCACCAGTTCCTGTGCCCTTTCCAAAGATTTCCCTGCTGGCCCCACAGCCCGCTGCCGCTGTGCCGCGGGTGTCACAAGAGATGTTGCATGGGGACAACGGCCACATTGATTGCAACAGCCCCAGGAGGCACCTCAGCCTCTGGCCCTGCAGCAGGGAGGGACCAGGGGCAGCCCCAGCACCCCACAGCCATGGGGCACTCCCAGGTTGGCCCAGGGCTCTTGTGCCAGCAGCAACAGGGGCCTGTCCCACCCACCAGCACTGCTATAAACCCAGCGAGTTTGGGGCACAGCAGCATTCCCTGGCCCCAGGGGCATCTGGACACAGCCATTCCTGTTACAGCCTGAGCACCAAGAGCCTCATCAGGTAGGTGGCTTTGCGATCTCTTGAGGACAGCAGCCCCTTATACCTCTCTCTTCAGCTCCTGAGCCTGTGTTATTTAGAAATAGGACAGCAGCCCCTTATACCTCTCTCTTCAGCTCCTGAGCCTGTGTTATTTAGAAATTGTTCCAAATTTCCATGTCGACATTGAAGACCATTTGAGCTTTTTAAGAAAGTGCACTGATTTTCTCTGAGTAACGTGATTTTTAGAGCCCAAAGTATGCTGGAATTAAACCTGGGTTTTCTGCCTCCATTTGGGACTGGAAATGTATCTGGAGGTAGGATTGAGGTCCCTGAGGCTTTTTTTTCTGGGGTACCTGAAGTCTTTGCTGGATAAGATAGTGAGATGCTATTCAAGCTGCAGTACTGAGATTTTCCATTCTTTACAGCTTCTATTAGTACGGAAAATATTTTTGACCACAGCCAAACTATGATTCTGTGATGTAGGTGAACCTGCTCATTTTAAAGGGGGTTGGAACTAAAGTAGCTGTAAGGGGTCCCTTACTCCCAAAACATTCTTTGGTTCTATTGACCATAGTGCTAGGCAGGAACCTCCTTCACCGAGTGCTGGGCATCTCCAGGGCTATGAATTTCCCTCAACTCCCTACCCAGGCCAGTTCTCAATTCTTGTTTGAATATTGGCTTTGTGTTGAGTGCTGGCACGAACACCACCTGACAGAAAAGCTCTGCTTTGTCCCTTGGGGAAGAAAAGGCAGAAGAGTGAGAATAAAAGTAGCAGCAACATGTTTCATCTGGTAACGGCATTTGAAAATCTTTCTTCTTTCACCTGTGACTCTGTCTCAGCAGAAACATGTATTTCTCCTCAAGACAGAAGTGTGAGATGCAAAAGGCCTGAGGGAGCACAGCTTCCAAGGGTTGATATTCTGCTTTTTTTTCCACAAGTCTTTGAGTTCTCATTTGGCTACTAGTGCAAAAATCAGGCATTACTTGTTCCACATGTCCCTTAAGAATTCATAGAGAATAAGATGATGGGAATTGCCCAACAGGCCATCACTTCCCCAGCTGGTCCCAGGAAATCCTAAAGGTACACACGTGAGATCCATAGTTTGGAACAGGTCACTTGTGAAAGACCCTCTGCAATTTAGCACATTACTGTGTGCTGTAATGTGCAGGACCTTTGGTGTGTCCACTCTGCAACTCTCTGAAGTTCTGGGAGAAGCATCAGCCATGAGGATCCTATTCCTGCTCTTCCCCCTGTTCCTCCTGCTGGTCCACAGTGCTGCAGGTAAGAGGGGAAGAGGGAGAAGTGCAGTCACACACTCCTCTCTCAGACTATTGTTTTAATTCTGCCTGTTAATGACTTTCCATGGCAGCAGGAAAACATGACAAATGCGTCCGACGAGGAGGATTTTGTGCTGTGGGGGGCTGTCGTTTCCCCTATAAATACGTGGGAGTTTGTTCAGCCCTGAGTCACTGCTGCAAACCGTAAGTTCTGGAAATGGTTTGCTCCTGGTCATGGATAATGTTATTATTGTCTTTCAAGTCAGCTCCTACTTTACACCCTCACACCTCCACACTTGAGGCAAAAGCCAGGGAAAGAAAGGAAAAGTTCCTTTTGGGTTTGGACCTGCGCTGAGTAGGACTGAAGTAGCCCCAGGTCAATGAGTTGTAACCGACACTCATTTAGCCCCACCAAGGTTTGCTCACTGTCAATGCACAGAGCTCAGCTCTGCTGCCCAAATGAGAAGGCTGTTCCTGGAATAGTGTGAGACATGGGATCCCCTTCCTGAAATGTGTAACAGTGGGAGTTAGCCTCTGCAGGCTGAGTGTTATTTCCCGGTGCTTGTTTTCATTGCAGGGGAATGGGAGAAAGAGGGATAAGAAAAGTTACACAGGTTATATATTTGTTTCCTCTCTTCTTACAGTATTTGGGGTTAAGACCCTGAAATTCCTTGGAAGAACATGCCCCTTGCTTCTGGCTGATGTCCCCATGTGCTGATGTCCCCTCCCGTGGCTGCCTGTGCCATGCCCAGCTGGGCTGACAGCAGCAGTGGCAGCTGCTCCTGCTGGCTGCTGCTGGGCTGGAGGCCTGTGGTGCCAGCCCCGCTGTCTTTGGGGCAGGGGCTGCTTTTCCCGGCTTGAATAAAGAGGAGCACTTTGGCATTGCAGGGCTGGGCCGTGTGTGCGTGTCCTGCTGCTGGAGGGCTGCTGTGCCTCTGCCTCTGGGGCTGGCCCTGCCTTGGTGGCAGCAGAAGGCCCTGGGCATGGTGCTGGGGCTGAGCAGCGCGTGTGTCCCTGGGGATGCTCCTGCCTGGCCGTGCTTTGGGGACGCTGAGCCCGGCAGTGCCTGCTGGGCCAGCCTGGCTGGGGTGCCTGTGGTGGAGCTGACTGCAGATGCTCTCTGTAGGCAATTTGTGCCCCTGTGCTGGTCCTGCCTGTCCCAGATGGCCCTTGTCCCCAACAGCCACAGCTTAATTTGCAGAGCTGTGCTGGGAACTGTGTCCCTTGAGTACATCTGGCCACTGCGACCCACAGGAGCTGTCCCTGCTGCTCCTCCTTGTCCTGTTCCAGCACCAGAGCCCTCCCTGCTGTGGCTCTGCTGCTCCACACCCCATCCCAGCAGGCAGGAGGAGGAGGAAACCATGCAAGTCCTCGTCTGGGTGACAGGTGGAAAAGGTCCCATTTTGCTGTAGAAATATCCAACTTTGTTTGCCTGCATGGAGTAAGCAGAATGTCCTGGTGTCTCTGCCCATCTCAGGTGGTCTGGAGTGACAATTCTCTGCTCCCTCAAAGGCAGGGTCTCTCCCTGTGTGCAAAGCAAACCTCAGGCATTTGATTCCCTGTCTGGTTCCATACCTGTGTGTGCCATCTACACGGTTGTTGGGGAGCAGCTGGGGACCCTGCCAGGTTCACTGGTGATTTTCCCTCTCAAGTATCACACCCATCAAATTCCTGATGTTGGAAAAGACCTCTAAGAATATTGAGTCCAGCCATTCCCCCAGCACTGCCAACCCCAACACTACCATGAGCACAAGTGTCACATCCACACAGCTTTTAAATTCCCTGCAGGACTGGTGACTCCGCCACTGCCCTGGGCAGTCCCAAAGAACCATTACCATTTCTGCAGAGAATGATTCCTAATAACCAGTCTAATCCTTCCCTGGTGCTATTTGAGACCATTTCCTCTGGTCCTGTCAGTTGTTACCTGGGAGAAGAGACTGACCCCAAAAATGTCTGCACTGCCATTGCTTTCCAGAACGGCAGGATTTGGTGGGGATGTTCAGACCATCCCTGCTTAGCCTGGCATTTCCTTCATCTGTGGTCAGCTGTTCTGGCACTGCCTCTGGGGCTGTTACCTCGGATCCCCTTTACCTCAGCAGTGAAGTGCTGTTCCCCCACCCCAGGGGCTCCTTGGCCCACAACATCTGCAGCCAGACTGATGGAGGTGTGGAAAACGAGCTCAGGAGTTTCCAACGGCACCGGGGGGAGGTAAAGTGTAAGTGGGAGTGCAGGAAATTTTATTTTCTCCATCTCATTTCCAAACTTCCCAATAGAATTGTGGAAGTGAAATTAGTGACGAACCTTTTCTCTCACTGTCCAAAGGTGAGAACGATTGCAATGTTTAATCACATCTGGACATCCCATACTGTGAATAGAACAGAGAAAATGAGAGATCCCAAGGAGGGAAACCATATCTTCATTTCTCCTCTTCGCAACACCAACCCGCCTCTCTCGTCCATCCCATCCCTCTCCTGCCCAGCCCGATGCCGCTGTGCCGCGGGTGTCACAAGAGGTGTTGCGTGGGGACAACGGTGACATTGATTGCAACAGCCCCAGGAGGCACCTCAGCCTCTGGCCCTGCAGCAGGGAGGGATCAGGGGCAGCCCCAGCACCCCACAGCCATGGGGCACTCCCGGGTTGGCCCAGGGCTCTTGTGCCAGCAGCAAGTGGGGCCTGTCCCACCCACCAGCACTGCTATAAACCCAGCGAGTTTGGGGCACAGCAGCATTCCCTGGCCCCAGAGGCATCTGGACACAGCCATTGCTGTTGGGTTTGCTGCTGTCTGAACACCAAAGCCTTTGTCAGGGAGGTGAGTGTGGGGTCTCTCTCTGGAATTCTGCCCACTCAGGGTCCTGCCTATCCCCATTGTCTTGGTGTCCCCTCTGCAGCTCTGTGAAGATCCGGGAGAGGCAGCAGCCATGAAGATCCTGTTCCTTCTCTTCCCCCTGCTCCTCCTGCTGGTCCAGGGTGCTGCAGGTGAGAAGGGAAGAGGGGAGATGGGGGAAAGTGTCAGCCTGCACCAGTGGGAATTCACTGTCCGTGGAAGTGACCGTGTTTGTGGGAATGACGGGACGGTAAGAGGGGATTGAGGTGAAAGGGTTTTCTTGAGTGATTTTCCAGATGGACACTGATTTGGGGTTGAGAGAGCTCATGGAAACAGAATCCTGGCTTCTTCTGTGTGTCAGGGATGTGGAAAGTGATAAATCCCTGATTGCCAGTGTGCTGGGCCAGGCAGAGGTGGGAATGCAGCTGGGAGCCAGCATGGCTCTTCCTCAACCTCACTCTTTTCCTTTCTACTCTCTGCTCTGGTGTGACTCCAGTTTGGGGGAACAGGGACCTTCCTGGTGATCCATGTTTCAATTGGAGATGTGGCTGAGGGGGGTTTTGATCTCATCCCTTCCCTTGGCCTGAAACGCACCAGCACTGGAGATCAACAGCCTGTCTATAACCACAATCTGACCCCTCAGATTATTACATTAATTGTCTCTTGTCTGTCTTTCCCCACGGGAACAGGCAGTGCAGTTACATGCTGGCGAAAACAGGGATTTTGCGCGTGGCGTTCTTGCCCTCGTGGTGCACGTGTTGTGGGAATATGTTCACCGCGCATGTTGTGCTGCAAAAGGAAAGGCCCAGATGCTTGGCTGAAGAAAGATTTTCCTTGTTTTTCCTCAGAAAGATCTGTTAATAACATCTTACTTAACAACACAATGATAAAAACTGTCCTGCATTTATGCATTGAGTGAGAGGCTGAACAAGGGAGAAAATAGTCCTTGAGGGTTTGATCTCCCCTCACTGGGGCTGCAGAAACTCCAGGTCAGCCAGGACCTCCCCACTTCAGTCCCAGGTTGGCTCATTCAGGCTCTGCAGAGGACACCACAAACCCACCAAAGAGGGAGACATTCCCTGTCCTTGGGCAGCACCAGGGACATGATCCAGGTCTTGGTGCATCTGCACAGACCTGGAGCCAGGGCTGCCAGCACTGAGACACCCCAGGCCCAACCTGTCTGCACTAAGGACTGCACCTCAGCTCCCCTGAGCCTGACTGCTGCACTCACCCTGGGCATTGCAGGGCAGGGGAGAGAGTGGCAGGGAATGTCACACCTGGTGATGTGATTGTCTGTTCTCTTTTACAGTTCCTCAGGTTGAAACCGTGAAATTCCCAAGCAGGACTTGCCCCTCGCTTCTGGCTGCTGGACCCACCTGCTGATGTCCCCATGTGCTGATGTCCCCATGTGCTGATGTCCCCTCCCGTGGCTGCCTGTGCCATGCCCAGCTGGGCTGACAGCAGCATTGGCAGCTGCTCCTGCTGGCTGCTGCTGGGCTGGAGCCCTGTGGTGCCAGCCCCGCTGTCTTTGGGGCAGGGGCTGCTTTTCCCGGCTTGAATAAAGACGAGCACTTTGGCATTGCAGGGCTGGGCCGTGTGTGCGTGTCCTGCTGCTGGAGGGCTGCTGTGCCTCTGCCTCTGGGGCTGGCCCTGCCTTGGTGGCAGCAGAAGGCCCTGGGCATGGTGCTGGGGCTGAGCAGCGCGTGTGTCCCTGGGGATGCTCCTGCCTGGCCGTGCTTTGGGGACGCTGAGCCCGGCAGTGCCTGCTGGGCCAGCCTGGCTGGGGTGTCTGTGGTGGAGCTTGTCGGAATCTGTGGGTATTGGTGATTCCGAGATTGTAGAAAGTCTCTGTCTTTCTGCCCCGTTGCCAAAGAAGAAGCCATAGTTCGTCTGTGCTGTTTTCAAGGTTGTTTATTTTTGCTTATCTATAACAAGTTCTGCTGCCCTGCCGCAGGTCTGTCTTGCAGGGCAGCGTGCGGGGCTCTGCCCCTCAGTGGGATGGTACAAACATTATATACCAGAAACTACGTGTACTATATTTACAATAATGTGCCAATATCTATCATCTACGTTGAACAGTGTGTCCCCAGCCTAAACCAATAGAAAAATGCCAACATCACCAAGAACATGGAGGTAAGGAAGAAGAAGGAGGAAGAACAGGATCAGGCCCACTTTCCTCCATCTTAGAACTCCTGACCCCCATATGCAAAGTAAAACCCCCCTGTACAGGTACTAAAACCCCCTTGTACAATACTAAAAAATTTTTCCCTCTAATTTGTGACTACTTTTACTATACCATCTAACTCTCTGTGACTGCTTGTTCCACCTTCAAAGTTGGTAATTCATTCCATGGTTCAAACTCAAGATCACAGCTGTTTTCAGCTGCTTGCCAGGGTCTAAAATGCTTTTGATCAAGGCCTGGAACCTCTGAAAATGTCTGAGGGACATTTTGAGTTCCGACAGAGCTGACTGCAGATGCTCCCTCTGGGGAATTGGGATCCCTCTGCTGTCCCTGCCAGTCCCAGATGTCCCTGGTGCATGCACCCACAAGTTCCTGTGCCCATCCCAAAGATTTCCCTGCTGGCCCCACAGCCCGTGACAGCTGTGCCGCGGGTGTCACAAGAGGTGTTGCGTGGGGACAACGCTGACATTGATTGCAACAGCCCCAGGAGGCACCTCAGCCTCTGGCCCTGCAGCAGGGAGGGACCAGGGGCAGCCCCAGCACCCCACAGCCATGGGGCACTCCCGGGTTGGCCCAGGGCTCTTGTGCCAGCAGCAAGTGGGGCCTGTCCCACCCACCAGCACTGCTATAAACCCAGCGAGTTTGGGGCACAGCAGCATTCCCTGGCCCCAGGGGCATCTGGACACAGCCATTGCTGTTGGGTTTGCTGCTGCCTGAACACCAAAGCCTTTGTCAGGGAGGTGAGTGTGGGGTCTCTCTCTGGAATCCTGCCCACTCAGGGTCCTTCCTGTCCCCATTCCCTTGGTGTCCCCTCTGCAGCTCTGTGAAGACCCGGGAGAGGCAGCAGCCATGAAGATCCTGTTCCTGCTCTTCCCCCTGCTCCTCCTGCTGGTCCAGGGCGCTGCAGGTGAGAAGGGAAGAGGGGAGATGGGGGAAAGTGTCAGCCTGCACCAGTGGGAATTCAGTGTCCCTGGAAGTGACTGTGATTGTGGGAATGATGGGACGGTAAGAGGGGATTGAGGTGAAAGGGTTTTCTTGAGTGATTTTCCAGATGGACACTGATTTGGGGTCGAGAGTGCTCATGGAAACAGAATCCTGGCTTCTTCTGTGGGTCAGGGATGTGGAATGTGACAAATCCCTGATTGCCAGTGTGCTGGTCCAGGCAGAGGTGGAAATGCAGCTGGGAGCCAGCATGGCTCTTCCTCAACCTTACTCTTGTCCTTTCTACTCTTTGCTCTGGAGTGACTCCAGTTTGGGGGAACAGGGACCTTCCTGGTGATCCATGTTTCAATTGGAGATGTGGCTGAGGGGGGTTTTGATCTCATCCCTTCCCTTGGCCTGAAACGCACCAGCACTGGAGATCAACAGCCTGTCTATAACCACAATCTGACCCCTCAGATTATTACATTAATTGTCTCTTGTCTGTCTTTCCCCACGGGAACAGGCAGTGCAGTTACATGCTGGCGAAAACAGGGATTTTGCGCGTGGCGTTCTTGCCCTCGTGGTACACATGTTGTGGGAATATGTTCACCGGGCATGTTGTGCTGCAAAAGGTAAGGCCCAGATGCTTGGCTGAAGAAAGATTTTCCTTGTTTTTCCTCAGAAAGATCTGTTAATAACATCTTACTTGACAACACAATGATAAAAACTGTCCTGCATTTATACATTGAGCGAGAGGCTCAACAAGGGAGAAAATAGTCCTTGAGGGTTTGATCTCCCCTCACTGGGGCTGCAGAAACTCCAGGTCAGCCAGGGCCTCCCCACTCCAGTCCCAGGTTGGCTCATTCAGGCTCTGCAGAGGACACCACAAATCCACCAAAGAGGGAAACATTCCCTGTCCTTGGGCAGCACCAGGGACACGATCCAGGTCTTGCTGCATCTGCACAGACCTGGAGCCAGGGCTGCCAGCACTGAGACACCCCAGGCCCAACCTGTCTGCACTAAGGACTGCACCTCAGCTCCCCTGAGCCTGACTGCTGCACTCACCCTGGGCATTGCAGGGCAGGGGAGAGAGTGGCAGGGAATGTCACACCTGGTGATGTGATTGTTCTCTTTACAGTTCCTCAGGTTGAAACCCTGAAATTCCCAAGCAGGACATGCCCCTCGCTTCTGGCTGCTGGACCCATGTGCTGATGTCCCCATGTGCTGATGTCCCCTCCCGTGGCTGCCTGTGCCGTGCCCAGCTGGGCTGACAGCAGCAGTGGCAGCTGCTCCTGCTGGCTGCTGCTGGGCTGGAGCCCTGTGGTGCCAGCCCCGCTGTCTTTGGGGCAGGGGCTGCTTTTCCTGGCTTGAATAAAGACGAGCACTTTGGCATTGCAGGGCTGGGCCGTGTGTGCGTGTCCTGCTGCTGGAGGGCTGCTGTGCCTCTGCCTCTGGGGCTGGCCCTGCCTTGGTGGCAGCAGAAGGCCCTGGGCATGGTGCTGGGGCTGAGCAGCGCGTGTGTCCCTGGGGATGCTCCTGCCTGGCCGTGCTTTGGGGACGCTGAGCCCGGCAGTGCCTGCTGGGCCAGCCTGGCTGGGGTGCCTGTGGTGGAGCTGACTGCAGATGCTCCCTCTGGGGTTCAGGTTCCTTATACTGGTCCTGCTGATTATGGGTGTCCCTTGCCCCAACAGCCATGGCTCTGTGTGCATGGCTGTGCTCGGGACTCTCTCCTCGGGCCTGCCTTGTTTCTCTCCCAACCCATCCCAGACACCCTGGAATTCCCACCACACTGTGGACTTTGATCTACATCTTCCTCTTCTGGCCTTGAGCTGAGGTCTGCAGTGCCAACCCTGCTCAGTCCTAGTGAACCTGTTACCAGAAATGCATGAGGGTGGTGCCTCTGCTTCTGCTGAGAATACAGAATCCTTCTCCCACATTTCTTATGATTGTCACCTTGTCACTGTGAATTCACATCTCCAAGTATTGAAGCAGAAAAAATTGAGATGCCAGGTTCCACTGCCAAATCCCCAGCACCTCAGCTCAGATTGGGGTACCAGATGGCTCTGCCAAGCACCTGGAGAGGAAATTGCCAAATTGGGTATATTGCACAGACCCTCCTGCCTGGCAAGGACTGTCACTTCTCCCAGTGGCATGGCTGGCATCAACCTCACTGGATTCACAAGTGATGGCTGCATCCAGCTTGCATTTCTTCACCTTGGCTGGCATTGGAAGGAGGTACAGGTTTGTTGGATCACCTGGTTTACAGAATTTGTCATCTGTCCTGGTGTTGCCAGGAGACGCACTAGAGGGAACCCTGCTTATCCCCCTGACATGGCAGTTGCACAGTCCTGTTGTCTAATAGGATGTTCTTGCAGTGTCTAAAATGGTTTTCCACATTCTGAGAGTTTTTTCACAACAGACACTGGTTCTTCAATCAGAGGAGAAGAGACATAAGAAAAGGACAGGAGAAGAGTGAATGGTTTCAATCAGACAGGGGGCAGGGTGAGATGGGATATTGGGAAGAAATCTTTCCCTGTGAGTGTGGAGAGGCCCTGGCACAGGGTGCCCAGAGAAGCTGAAGCTGCGACATCACTGCAACTGAGCAAGGCCAGGTTGCATGGAATTTGGAGCAACCTGGGAGAGTGGAAGCTGTCCCTGCTGATGGCAGGGGGTGGAAAGAGATGAACTT